ATAATTTCCCCCTGCATAATTATATCTCTTCAGAGATGTGGAGAAAAGTTGTACTATAGCTGGCCAAGCATTCTTGACATGTTGAGGTATGTTTTCTCCTCACTTTCTGATTTCTTCCCCGTATGTAAGATTTTACATTCTATTTTTGCTGATCCTGTTCCTTGCATATTTTCTTAAGGTCTGTTGCAGATGCATCAGAGAAGGATGTGGCGACCCTTGGGTTCCAGGTTAGTAAGAGTGACTGACTATGGACTCAATAAAAGTTGTAGCGTATGACCTTAGTCTATTGCTTACTGAATGCCTTGTTTGTTCTTTCAGAGTCTCCGGGTTATTATGAGTGATGGACTTCCTACTCTTCCGGAAGACTGTCTCAATGTGTATGATCCTATCTCAGTTTTAATTACTGTGCTTCATATTTTATCCGTTGATACTTGGTTGTCGGAGATGCCATCATATTACTAGTTTTTATGAGATGTTGGTCAATGATGTTGATATTTCAGGTGCATAGACGTTACTGGAGCTTATAGTGCACAGAAGACTGATTTGAATATAAGTTTGACAGCCATTGGTCTGTTGTGGACTTTGACTGATTTTGTAGCAAAGGGACTCCACCATGGGTCTCTAGCGGACAAAGGATTGGGTAAATAATTGTCAAAACCTTGTCTGCACTTATCACCTCTAGAGAAGCTCTATATAAAGTATTTAGTAAGCTGAGCTGTTCCTGCAGGATTCAATAATGCAGATTCCACTCCTCAACAAACAAATGGTGAGGACGGGGAAGACAATATGATTAGCAATTCTAACAAGTCAGATTATGAAGGTCGAAGACAAGTTGTCAATCATGAGAAACTTCTGTTTTTAGTCTTTTCGTTAATTCAGAAACTCGTAGATGACGAGCGACCAGAGGTCTTTTTCATAGACCACCATTTAATGTGAATGCTTTATTTACTTGGAATGTTGGTGCACCAAGCTTATTTTTCATTGCTAATAATTTTTTTAGGTCAGGAATTCAGCTGTCAGGACATTTTTTCAAATATTGGGAAGTCATGGGAACAAACTTTCAAAACGCATGTGGGAGGATTGTCTATGGAACTATATCTTCCCGATGTTGGATGGTGCCTCTCACAAGGTGAGGAAGGTTTTACAATGGATTCATTTTAGAAGACTGTTCTGACAGGTGAATCTTCTTTTTAGGCTGCAACATCATCAAAGGACGAATGGCAAGGGAAAGAAATCGGTACTCGAGGAGGGAAAGCAGTGCACATGCTTATACATCATAGGTGACAAAAGGAATTCTCTTCTTGTGGATGTCTTCTACATTGTCCATCTCTTACTGATAGTCCTGGATGCCTTACTGATAGTCTTGGATGCCTTAATAACTCATCTCTTACGATCCATTTTCTGATCTGCAGTCGCAATACAGCCCAGAAGCAGTGGGATGAAACATTTGTCCTTGTCCTTGGAGGAATAGCCCGCCTCTTCCGGTCTTATTTTCCTCTTCTTGAAAGCTTACCTAATTTCTGGTCAGGTGAGAGAATTGTGATTTGCCTTGACTGCAGTGCGTATTGTTTAGGAGAGGCTGACATATCGTGGAACTTTCTACTTCTGTAGGATGGGAGTCTTTGCTTGCTTTTGTTAAGAATAGCATTTTCAATGGGAGCAAAGAAGTATCACTTGCAGCGATAAACTGTCTGCAGACAGCTGTTGTGTCCCACTGTGTCAAGGTATCAGCGCAGCTAATCGAACAATCTATGAGCTACAGTAGACACTATAATATCTATGTTTTCACTCTTTAAACGTAACTCTTTTACGAATTAGGGAAACTTGCAACTCCGATATCTTAATTCGGTACTGGACGTGTATGAGCTTGTTTTCCAGAAGTCCTCGAGTTACACCGGGGACACAGCAACCAAGGTGAAACAAGAGATTCTGCATGGGTTAGGTAATTCAGTCCTTTCAATGAAATCTCTGCATCTTGGTAATCTTTTCTGTTGACTAAGATGAACAATTTCAGTAAATAGAAATGGCTTAAACAAAGGTGTTCTTTTTTGCATGGCAGAATTTTTGTAACATTTGGATCTTACTCTTTCCTTTTTCTTTCTCGGCCAATGTTTCGACAGGTGAATTATACGTCCAATCACTGAAGATGTTTGATGATAAAATGTACATGCAATTGTTGGGAATTGTAGACTTAGCTATTAAACAGGCCATCATAAATAGTGAAAATTTTGAAACTGAATATGTAAGTCTTCTCTCTCATTATTCATTCTTTACCTTCTTCTTCCTCCTTTCAAGTACTCAGATTCAAACCTAGGCTGCTAGCATCTCATTATTTCATTTATTGTTGAAGGGACATGTACCCCCTGTACTACGTCATGTTTTGGAAATCTTACCCTCTTTGGGTCCTCCTGAGCACCTTTCGTCAATGTGGCTGATCCTGCTGAGAGAGTTTTTGCATTATCTTCCACGGGTTGATTCTGTTCTGCCAAATGAGGAAGGTGAGATTGAGCAGAACAACATAGGTCACTGTGCAAGTCTTTATCTAATAATTCTTGATGTTAAATTACTTTCAACAAGTCTTTATCTAATAATTCTTGTATCATTTCACCCAGGCAGTGAAGTATTGGAACATAACGCTGATGCTAAGTCTGAAACAGTTCCAACAACAAGGATTACGACTAATATGTTTGCAGAAAAGCTGATCCCTGCCTTGGTAGAGCTTCTCCTTCAGGCTCCTGCAGTTGAAAAGTATATCCTGTTTCCGGAAGTCATCCAGAACCTAAGAAGGTAAAATCAACTCTCATTGTATACTGTTATCGATTCTTATAGGCATTGTGCAGATGTGCTGGATCTGCTCTTCTCAACTCAAAAGTCTCATCACATGAGTTTCGAAGGGGAATCACGAGTTATTTTTAATGGTCAACCCAAACCCCTCCCCTCTCTCAAGTTCCACGTTCCTGCCTAGATTTGCAAAATAATAAATTGATTTTCTGTAGATTGGTTGAGTAATCATGTCTATTTCCTTCTGTTGTGTCTAAAGAAATGTATTTCCTTCTGTTGTGTCTGGAGAAATGTGTTACAAAAAACTTAGATCATTTTGATTTTCAGGTGCATGATGACAAGACGAGACAATCCAGATGGTTCACTCTGGAAGGTAGCAGCCGAGGGTTTCAACCGTTTACTTGTTGAAGATGTGAAATTATGTTCTGTTGGTGGTGACACAGACCTAATAATTAGTAAACCAGCTCGAATACGCATTTGGAAAGAAATTGGAGATGTTTACGATATATTCCTTATTGGTTATTGTGGACGTGCACTTTCTTCAAATTCTCTCCCTGCTGCAGCACTCAAGGCCAATGAGACCCTTGAGATGGCTTTATTAAACGGTCTTGGCGATATCATTCTTAAGTCGACTGTTGATGCTCCTCGAGAAGTAAGTAGCTTAAATTTCATTTAAATTGTTCTCTGGTATCATGATGTCTGAGTTCTTAATATGTTGTGTCCACTTTTTGCAAATACAGGTCCTCGAGCGGCTTGTTTCAACCCTAGATCGCTGTGCATCACGTACATGCTCATTACCTGTTGAAACTGTAGAGCTGATGCCTGCCCACTGTAGCAGATTTTCCTTGACATGCTTACAAAAATTGTTTTCCTTGAGCAGGTAATATTTCCTTGAGCATATCCACGACCATAGCCCCTTTTATTTTTTTAATTGGTTCTTCTGCAATGACTCTATTATCTCATACGTGATAATGTGATAGCACATTGCTCCTCTTAAGAATCCCTCCTTGACATTAGTTGAGTAATTTGAGTCACACATGTTACAATATGCATATATATCATAGAGAGAGATTCCTCAGGGCGCTTTGCCAATTTTGAAGATTAGGAATGTCCATAAATAGTGATTTGGTACCCATTCCAACTCCCAATGTTTAACATACCGATATTTTAGTTTCAGCTCTGACACTGAAGAGTGGCACTCCACAAGAGCGGAAGTGAGCAAGATCTCTATCATCACGCTAATGGCCAGATGTGAATTCATTTTGAGTAGATTTTTAATCGACGAAAATAATCTAGGTAAGGGTCTCCATTTTCTTTAAACCCTAACATCTTCTTTGCTTGCCATTCCTTAATCTATGGTTATCTTTTGGCAGGAAACCGTCCAATCCCAACAGCTAGACTTGAAGAGCTTGTCTTTACCCTCCAAGAACTTGACCACCTCAGCATTCATCCCGAGGTTGCATCTGTTCTTCCATTGCAACCCTATATGAAAACCATCCTACGCAAAGATAATCGCGACACCCGTGCGCACCTACTTGTCCTTTTCCCCTCGCTGTGCGAGCTTGTGTTGTCAAGGTAATATCACTTCTTCAGTTGCAATTTGTCGAACAAAACAAAAAAGGGTGACAAAATCTCTGCTCTGTCACTCAAAACTCAGATAATCAACCCATGAAATTAGATAAGGGGGAAAATTCTTCAACTATAAAACCTAAAAGATCCTATCAAATTTTTATTTTAAGAGTTTTGTCTTCACCAGGGAAACGCGGGTGAGAGAGCTTGTGCAAGTTTTACTACGAGCAATTGCTACAGAGCTAGGCTTAGAAAAGGTTAGTCTATCTAGCTGATGGCAATAAATGGGTATGTATTTCGAAAGATTGGAGCTCTAAACTTTTTCTTCTTACACTAGATTATTGAGAAAATTTTGGTTCTCTACCTCATAGGTTGTATTCTTTGTTTTAGCTTGTACCAGTTTTACTCTGTGTGCTGTTTTAACATTGAACTGTTCTTCATTCTTTCCCGCTGATGTTGCAATACGCCATTCTCCGAGAACCATGGTTTGATTGTTAACCAGGTCTGGACCAGTCTAACCTGCTTTCATGTATTTGATCCATCTTTCTATACCCTGTTCATGTTTGCTTAACTTGCACATTTTCATTCTGATTTTGTTGGGTATTCGTTGAAATAAAATTTGGGTTAAGATGTAGCTTATACCTAACTTAAATAGGTATAATAAAAAGACTCAAAATCTTATATACATCAACATATATATACACATAAAGTTAGTTACTATAAACTTGGCTTCTCAATACCAAGAAAGAAGAATGGTATCACTTGGCCTGATTAATTCGAGCGGCAGCAGCGACAGAGGCGGCCACGCCAGTGGGATAAGTAGTAAGATGAGGATCATTTCTCATCTCTGCGCCTGTCACTCCCTCTGCGTCTTTTCTCGTTGCTGCTTTGTCGGACGGTAGTTTGCTACTCGCTCCCTTTCAAAACCATTGTACCCAAAAGATGAAGAAAAAAGTCATTCTAATCCGTAAATGTAAGTAATAATATGTACATTGTATCATAGTTTTACACATTTGTGTTATCTTATTACTCACAGTGAGAACATCAGCGAGCGTTGTCTTATCATCTTCGGAGGTGACCCGAGCGTTGAGAGTAGCAGCTGATTGAGCCGAAGCTGCAACACCGCCAGGCATGATGTTGGTCCGCCCTGTTGCTCTTACCTCGGCCGCTTGTATGGCAGCTGCGTCACTCCATTCCACAGGCTTATTCCCTGCTGTGAGAACCGCTGCCTCTAAAGCCTCTCCAATCGTTATGGTTCCTTCCGATGATGGAGAATTAGCTCCTAACTTTTTCCGGCTTACTTCTCCCTCCACCTACAAATTTTAACGTTCTAATTACTCCGTTACATAATATATCTACATGGTTAGTATGATTTGAAAAATGGACCTTTTCGCCGGAGGCTTCGGCGACTACACATTTCTTTTTCTCCTCCGCTGCATCAATACTTGCTGGAACCTTTTCAGCCTCTAGTTTTCCATCAGCGCAATCAATACTTGCCGGAATATGTTTCTCTAGTTGTTCTTGGCTCATCTTTTATTGTCAATTCCAAAATCTTTTTTTCTCTTTTACCCTTTATTCTAGGCGACATTTATATTTGTAAATGTTGAGAATTTATAATAGTTTTGCATCAGCCATTCAATCCTGTGACTATCTTAGAAGAAAGGTTCTCCTCAACTTTCTCTGATTTTTTTCCCTCTTAATTTAGCGAATGAAAATCAAACACATCCATAATTCCGTTTGTTCAATTTGGCCTCGTTTAAAAAATAATACTTCTTCTGTTTCATTTTAAGTGATGTTTAAGGCTGTTACACACATATTAAAAAAACATATAATTTCTCTTGTTTCTATAAAAACATCATTAATTAAAATAAATTCAACCAAAAATAAGATGTAAAATATGATTTGCCAAAAAATCTTAACACATTTAACTTTTGCATAGAAAGTTAAAAACATATTTTTTTAAAAAAATATTAAAAAAATATATTAAATATTAACACAGTTAAAATTAAAAACATCACTTAAAATAAAACATTTTTTTTTTTTTGGTAAAACATCATTTTAATAATAATCAAACCAGTTAATACTATCCGGTTTAGCTTACTAGATTACTCGGTTAGGGTTTCAAAGTTTTCAGTCTCTCACTTTATTCTTTCTCTCATTCACAAAATCGGGAAGAGAAAAAAAAAAACACTTCGTTTACTCGCCGGAGCCCAACTTACTCTGCTCATCGTCTCGCCGGAGTTTCGACACCTCAGGTTTTCTCTTCTCTCCATCCTTCACATTTTTAGAATTCGATTTTGGATTCAAGCTCTTTGGTTGTTTCAGGCTCATATCCATTGATACACTTTCACACATCTCACCACGGATTGCGATTTAGGGTTTTCAATTGAATCAGTTATTTTCTTTTGTGGTTGAATGTGGAAAAGGAACGAGAATGAATCAGAACGCTAATGTACCGGTGGAAGTGATGAGGGAGGAGGAGGTAGCAATATTACACGAAGGAATTGGTTTGATACTTTCGCGGTGGACTGCATTAACAGCTGCCGTCGAAATGGGTTGGGGTGGCAAAGGTTCTCTAGTGATAGCTGAGCAAACCATCTCTCAAGTTTTCGATCATTTCACCTTATCTAAAGGTTTTATTCCTTTGCTTTTTTCAATCTATCAACAACTTGTTTTGTTCTAAATCAATGTGTTGATTACTTTGTTCTGGAATTGTTGTAGATCCAACGGACTATGATCGGTTATTTGATATTCTAGAGAATAGTCTTAATCAGCTTAACACTGTGGCTGAAGATGGAAGCCTTGAAGAGGTATTAGCTGAGTTCTTTTGTGTTGTTCTTTAGGCTGTTGCTGAGATAAGTGTTTACTTTGTTATTGTAATTGAAGGTAACAGAGTCACTACTGGATTTGTACTATGAATGCTGTGAAGGTGACTTCAAAATTGTTGAGAAACTAAGAGCTACTAAATCTAAAGCCAGTTCAAGTGTTGTCAAGGTTGGTCTCCTTTTCAATGCTGTCTTGCTTTGCTTTTTACATTCCTGAGTCTGTGGCTGTGTTACAAATAAGTAAATGCTTATGTTAAAACATGGATAAGATTTAGATTGTGTAGAATCCAGTACAAATCCATGTCTGTTTGGTTTGTTTTGATTTTACTACATTGGTTTGGTTGGTTCCTCCTAGATATGTAGCTGAGATTATGTCATAGTTTCCGAGAGTTCGAATAGAGAGTCTTATACTAATTCTGTTATTGTAGGTTGCAAATGGCAAAACATGGATAAGATTTAGATTGTGTAGAATCCAGTACTAATCCATGTCTGTGTTGGTTTGTTTTGATAGGTTATTTTGATTTTAGTACATTGGTTTGGTTGGTTCCTCTTACATATGTAGCTGAGATTATGTTCATAGTTTCCGAGAGTTCGAATTGAGTTTCTTATATCAATTCTGTTATTGTAGGTTGCAAATGGTAATGATGAGGACGATGAGGAAAGTGACGATGACGATGATGAGGATACAGAGATGAGTAATGATCAAACCACAGACATGATGGTGGATGCATCTGAGGACAGTTCAAACTGTAAACAAGAAGCCATGCCGGTTGATGAACCAGCAGCCGATGATGGCTGGACTGTAGTTCCATCTAGAAAAAACAAAGGAAAGAAGAATTAACCGTGCTTGGTTCCCAATGTGTTATGTAATTTTAAACAGTTTTGGTTGTTTATTTATATAATATAGATAGTAGTACTCTATAGATTGTCAGTTCCTAAACAAAATCAGAAGACTTGGAAATACAATGTTTCTTGCCTTTATTTTGTTTCTTGCTTTGGTGCTATATGTTTTGGTTGTTGATTTTATTATTATTAAAAAGAAAGTTAAAATTACTGTCTTAAATAATAATAACTCCACAGCCTTTTGCTGATTTTGTTTTTGAACTATATTATCATAAAATATGTCTGGGTCAGCTCCATCTGCAACAATATGAGGTAAATATGAAGAAGACTCACCATTCTTAGTAAAGATCTCAATCCTGGAGAAAACAGCCTATTCCTCCATAAACTATCATATGATTGCACGCGACAAAGTTATGTGTATGAATACGATAAAGTTGATTAGCATTCCTCCATAAACTATGTTTACTTTATCGTAGAAAAGCCTCTTGATCAACCATTTTCTTGGTCCATAAACTTCGATACTAATTCATTAACACCTTCTCTTGATGGTCAAGCTTCTAGGGTCGAGTTGTACGGACTATATAGACTCGCATATGCTTTGACATCACAAAGAGTCACTGGTTCGTTTATTCTCTTCATCAATCTTTTTTTCGTCTTGTTGAACGTTTCCTTGACGTTTCATTTGTTATATTTGTTATGTGTGATTTGTTAGCATGAAGATTGTTTATATAAAAAAATAAAAAAATAAAAGGTGATTTAATGATTATAAGTTTTTTTTTATATCTTGGTTAGACTCATTAAATTTCAGTTTTACTAAAATTAACTGAAATTTCAGGATATCTTATAAGTTCCACCCTTACGTGTAGGCATGTGATTGATTATAAAATGATAATCATTTAACTTAATAGATTATCCATGCATATATTATACCTTCTAGAGACATAATGACAAGACATTTAGGGGATTATGGTTATCTCTCATTTTGGAAGTCCATTAAAAGTTAAAAAATATGTATATATCATTTTTTGTATTTATTAGTAATTTAAATAGTATTAATAGGGAAAACCTATTTTAAAAAAGAGAAATTCCTCTCAATACCATTAAACATAGTTTTTGTTCCTAATCTAGCATTCACTACTAATTTTTCCACTAATACCATTATTAACTGAATGGATTGACCATTATACCCTTGTGTTATAAACATCAATTTGTTGTATCTTCCTCATCGATTCAGTTCCATCGTCGTCGTCTCTAGTCGTACTCATAAATCACAGTGGTCTCCAGTCGTGCTCCATCGTCTCTGGTGCTCCAACGTCTATCTACGACGTCATTTCTCTTTGTCTTCCTCTGATGTATAAGAGATTTGGGGTTTGAAGATTTGGAGATTTCGCAATCGAAAAACTGAAGATCGAAGCTTTATTGCTGATTCCAAAATTTTTGCAGGAGAAGTTAGAAATAGCTTCGTTGGGAGATGTGTATGAGCCGATCGAAACTTTGATGGATCTATTTGGAGAATTGATGGATTGGAAGCATAGTACAGAGACGAAGTTGAACGCGTCGGCGAAGAGATTCATAACGATGAGACGCAAATTCGATATGTTTCTTATTTTGCTTCCACCTTTAGTACCAACAACGATAACACATCAAAACTCGCAGATCAATTTTGTGTCAATAGAGTTGGTGATAAGGTATTATTTATGAAATAGTTGCTTGCTTTTCACCATTTGATTGCTTTATCAAATAGCAGTAAGTGACATCGTTCTAAAATTCTACACAATTTGCTGTCTATGAAATGCATTGTCTTCTCAGTTTTTGAATTGTATAGCTAATGGCACACATGAATCTGGAAGTGTTTTTTGGGGTTTCGAGGTTAATAAGTCTAGTAATGTTGCAAAACTAGTTTTAAATGTGAAGTGATCTTCGTTCATTATAGTTTTTAAAGTTGAGTTGTGTTTATAAAATTGTATATATTGATAGAGCATATGTGAGTTATATAAAGCATGTTTTGCTACCCCTTTTCTTTTGTTCTTACTTTATTAATAAAGAGGTGGTGGTCGCAAATCTGGGGTGATTATGGCGTGGCGGTAGTGGTTACAAAGGAGAGCAAGGTGTTGTGGTGTTTGTGGAGGCAACGACTGCTACAAGTTCCTACACTGATTAACAATGTAAACTCTTGTTGATATTGCTGTTTTGGAATAATTGGATAAGACATAGATTCTGGAAAGATGAAGAAGAAGGAGGTTAGTTTCCTCCTTTATGCATTCTTCTATCTTTGGACAACACAACCAATGTTGGTTTAAAAAGTAATATAGAGCTCTATTTCTATGTTTATGTCTAGAGTTTTTGAGAAGTTTATTTAGGTTTGTCTCTTAAGAGAGTGATCTATCTTATTCGGGTAAATGAAGGTTAACTATATGCATTTGCTGAAGATTTAGATATCTCCTTTGCACTGGTATATATGTGATTCATTTCTTGAAAGAGTGCTGTAATCCAGCTTTGGCTATGTAATCATTGTCTTGTTTTATGTTTTATGTAGCAATCTTCATTCTATTTTACTTATAGATGTTTTTCTAAATAATACAGAAGAGAAGGTGAACAACATGACACCTATGACAAACTTCTCACTTAAGCACCAAAGTTCAAAAGCTCATACTCCATAGATTCTTGCATGAGTGAATACCTTCCTGAAATTCAAAGATGATTTCCTAAAAGTAATGAAATCTTTCCTAAATTTTTAAAAATGATGTATACATCTCTTTATTTATGTTTTACCTCAATATATCACATATTACTTCATTTAGTGAGGGTTAATGATTTGGTTTTGTGTATATCATGAGTTATGATTTGATTTTGTGTCTCCTTAATGTTCAAGAAGTTCTTCCTAAATTTCAAAAAAAAAATCTTAAATATCAAGGAGTCCTTCCTAAATGCTAATTAGACTACTTATATCATATAAATAGAATGATCAATAAGTTTTGTGGTGTAATTTACACCGTGTAAACATATCATTTAATTCAAGTTATTTCACAAAACACTACATCCAAAATATTTTTAACAAAAATTCCTAATGAGAAAACAAAGTCCAATACTATGTGGTTTCTTATATATATTACTTAATGTTATGCTATCTTTGAATGAAAAATTTAGCTTATTGGTTACACGTTCGAATACAATACACATGGTTGCAGGTTCAAATTATGGTGGTTTTGTATGCCCCAAAATATTTTTTGTTTCTTTTTTAAGGAAACCGAAACTCTATGACGGCCATCCTAAATTCCAAAAGTCTTTCATTAATTTCAAAGATTATTTCCTAAAATGTTGGAGTAACAACAAAAACCAATACTTTGAAATTAAAATCATGTTTGATCTGAGGCATATGTGATTGTTATCTCTCTTGGTGTGCATTGTAGCTTTGTCTTATTAGTCTTGTAGTATAGACGCATGTACATTATCATCTCCTCATTTTTGGCTCCTCACGTATGTTGAAATAAAATTGAGACAATGTGGCATTTGTATGGAAAAAGGTCTTCCATATCCTACTATAAAAATGAAATAGGAAAATATATTTAGGAAAGCCATCCTAAACGTTACGAATCCCTTCCTGAATTATAACTACAGTCAAAATAACAATACCACGTTTTTAAACCTCATCCATCTACATAAGAAAACACATACACAAGATGTAAGATGTAATATGCTTCACAATTACTAATGCTTTTGGCATCACAACACCAAAGATGGATTCCTCAAATCAATAGAAAAACCATAATATCTTCTCAAATGATCAGAACCTGACACTCCCTCTACTAGTAACCACCATCTACTTGTCCTCAACTGATCAGAGATAACCATAATATCTTTGCCAAAAGTCCAACAAGAATCTGGAATATGATACTTAGTTATTTATGGGTTCATAAACTGTGACTTTTAGCCAATTTGTAACTCGAATTACGGATGGAGTTTACCTCATAACGAAGAACCGTCAATTGCTACTTCTTCCTCGCAGCGAGATCTATCCAACGACACCAAAAGCGTGTTCTGGTTCCTTCAGATCCGACGGGAGTTGGATCACCAAGAACACTACTTCACACTGATTTCTTCTTTCTCTTCTTCACCAAAAAAATCAATTGTTGCAGCATAAACCACAAAACCAGCTGTTGCATCATAAACCACAAAACCAATTGTCTACCAGAATCAGTCTAAAGAGTATTAAGCTATTAATCAATGAAATAGATTCAAAATTTCAAGATTGAAGATTTAGAAACCTCATAAACTAATATTAATGAAGATGAATGAAATTGAGGAAATTTTCAGCTTTTGAGTAGCTTTTGGATAATTCAATCGAACATGATTTGTGCTCGTCACGGCCGTTGCTGCGAAACGGCGAAGTCTCAGATTCGTAGTCAAAACGGCGATACGAGGAGGAGGCAACACGAAGCGAGATGAGAAGAACGCACGGCGAGGCGAAGCCGGAGGAATTTGAATCGGTGCGGCGAAGCAAGATGACGTAACCTGAGATGACGACATGAATCAAAGAGAAGATGCGATTTGTTGTTTTGAAGCAAATGAAAGAAACTACGTCAAACAGGCAAAGAGAAGAGAAGTATGAGGGTAGTTTAGACATTTGAATTAATGAAAATGAGTGTATGGTATTTGTGGCCACAAAACATAAAATTATGTTATTTATGTAAATTCCCCTTAAAAAAATTACAAGTAATATTAGTAAGATATAGAAAATAATAGTTTAAATAAATATATAGGTTTAATTATATATTTCAATATGTGTTTCTCATCCACACTTTCCCATTTGAGTCTAAAACTTAACTATTTGACTTCATAAATAAATGTCTTTGTCTTTTATTGGGGATCGTAGAGATTTAGATATTTTGTGGTCTAAAATTTAGCAAATGAGCATTTGCATATTGGATTTATAGAAATGCTGATGTAGGAACCAAATGAATGGATCTAGAAGTATGGTAGAAGATGGTGAATCTCTATAGCTGGCCGAAGGGTACTCTCTAAAGATTCTAATGAATGGTTGATGAAGTGAACTAAATAGATAGTGAAACTGTTGCTGGCCAAAGGACACTCTCAACATATTCAACAGAAATGGAGATGAACAGATGGGTAGATCGCGATAGCAACACAAAGGCTATAGAAAGGCCCTTGGTATAACTCACAAGTTTAGTTTAAAGGAATCACACATAATGAACTGAAATTCCAAAAATATTAAAACATCTCATCTTAAAAGAAAAAACTTTTCTAAATTTTACATAACTCTCAACTTATTTTTATTCATCAAAATGAGCCTCATTTATAGAGGAAATACATCAAAAACATTCATAATAATTGCTAAACTTGCTGCACAACTTGAAAATAGAAATTCAAACTCTAGTTTGCATGTAAGTAAGAGAAAAACATTTAAACAAATGCTCCCTTGAATTTGGACGAAATGACTATTTCATTGGTGCTTTCGGGCTGAAAATACTCCAATTAAAATCCACTCTTCTTAAAAAATCCCAATCACATGCAAACTCCTTGGGCACGTGCGTAATTTCTGAGTTATTTTGTCAAACACCATGTATAAAATTGAAGGAGTTTGGTATAAATATGTGTAAAGATGCTAGCATAAATTTGTTACAATTTTGTTACTTGCATAAATATGTGTAAAGATGCTCCAATTGGCTCGGTACCAACTTATCAAGTCCTTCATCAAACGTTAAATTCTCCACACCATCTATGTGTGCCAATTCTGTTGAAGTTTGTGCCGGTATTTGACTAGCATGTCTACGTGTTTTATAGAGTCTGTTAACTTCTCTTTCGAGTCATTCTTCAAGGAAATAACGCAGTCCGCTCACTTTCAGGTACCTTTTGTTAACCCCTTTAAGATCAAGGAGATCTTGTGCGCAGCACTCGATGTACCTCTTGTTAACCCCTTTAATGAACAACAATGCACTAATGAGTTCATCACTCATCACAGTAGAACATGTATTTGTGGAAGTAAAAAAAATTTTTTTTATTAAATGCTACCCATCCAATCATATAAACCAATTATATAAAATCCTCTCAATGATTTTTTATATTAATTAGAAAATATTACCACAGCCTCTTTGATCTCTCACATGCTTCATCCATTTCTTCCAATTTGTACCTTTTAAACCATGTACATTATGAAGTTAGGAAATAACATTAGTGTTAAATTCTCTAAGCTATATAAAGCTCATAAGTTAGCATATATTATATAAAGAGATACGAGACAATAGATAAGAAATTAGATACCTTTAGAATGAATAGAGAGAGAGAGAGAGAGAGAGAGAGAGAGAGAGAGAGAGAGAGAGAGAGAGAGAGAGAGAGAGAGAGAGAGAGAGAGAGAGAGAGAGAGAGATTACAAATTCAGTACATAACGATTAGTTGAATCTGCATTTTACATATATGTAGTACAGATACAACTAAAATGGAAGATGATATCATTAATTCACAAAAAGTATGTCCTTCATATTTCAAACAAATCAACATTTAAAATAAACTAATCATTCATTACCAATTGATAACACAAGATACTCACATTCATTTCATGCCAAATCAACAGTTCTATGGTTCAAAAAATCAAGATTATTACTCACCTACATTAAAACCTCTATAAATTAATAATGTTGGGACTGTAAATATCTATTAATTTATCGATAAATTTATCGATAAATTAATAATTATTAATTAATATAGATATTTTCCTAATTTGGGAATTTTGAATATATCTATACATCAAAAATATAATTTAATCATTATAATCAATATTTTGTCAGAATCAATTACAAGAAAAACAACAATCATCATGTATTGAATAAAACATTATAATTTTTGATACATGAAATCTATTGTAATTGACATTTAACAAAAAATAATGTAAATTAAAGAATAAATAACAACACAATAGATATATTTCAATAAATTATTTAGATGTAATATATATTAATAATTTCATATAGTTCTTAATTTATAATATTGCTAGGACCATATATTTACAAATATTTTTTTTTCAAAAATATTATCTTATTGTTATATCGAAATGTGTCCTAAATTACGCTGGCCCTACTTACGACATCTTAGCATAATATATTTGATGCTTCTTAATTCAAGAACAGGACCAAGAGTTGTACAGTGTTCCTGTATTATCTGCAATGTTGTAGTTAATCCGAGATTCTTTCACAGAAACTCGCTGTTGGATATGCAAGTTTAGGCAATGGCTTAGAATTATGCTCGACACCATAATAGCCTGTTATGTAGCTTTGACTTAGTGTTGTCATCATTGTGCAAATACCTAACATTCTTATATTCACTTGTCGTTAAAAAAGGAGCCATACAAATATAGTGGAAGGAAATTTCATTTGAGTTGGTCACTTTTGGTATCATTTACAATACACTGAAGATGTGTCTACTTACACGAGCTGAGAGAGCAAAGACAAAAAAATGTCTTCCTACAAAAAAAAATTATAGTTGATCTTCCTCGCTGAACTAAATCACATTTTCTCTTTACCAACGTTGCATAGCTGCGACTCTTCTTCTTTGTTGAATCCATCACCCTCCAATCACGTTGCAAGTTTCCGGTTACTTCTCTTTCTCATCATCATCTACATAAAGTTAGCTTTACCAAATCTGATATAAAAAGCCCAGTCCACGTGCAAAATCCTTGGACACGTTCGTATCATCATATTTATATTTCATTGAGTCATTCCGTCGAACACCATGTATGAAATGAAACTGAAGCACCTCCACCACGGATCTAAGCTAGGCATGGCGACGAATGAAGCACCTCCCCAGCACAAACGAAATGTCGTAGAAGAAACCACTCCGTCAGTGATCGAAGAGACCACAAGGACCTTATATGTGTTGGAAGAAGGAAGATATGTTCCTGTAAATAAGGGATCAGATGGAGCTTATGTCTCACCACCAGCATGTGATTCAGACGAAGATGTTGATCATGTTCTGGAAGAAGAGTATAATCGCCAACTTCGCGAATCCGATGTACGTTACATCCCTTTAAATTTGTTTTTAAATTTCACTATCAGCTTTATCCGTTTGTGCTTTGTAAGAATCTCTGAACCTTTATGCAATAATTGATCTTTTTATATGCAGTGTTTTGACTGTAACGTATATGTACCAAATGGTTCGGTGATACCGTATATATGTTATGATCATCATGAGGATGAGATTGGCATTTGTGCTAGGGTGGGACTTCATTGTTTCAATCGTCACAAGGTCTGCATTTTCTAAAATTGATATAATTTTCTCTGCTATTTTCTGATCTCAATATTTTTGGCAGGGTTCAAACTTTCAGTTGTTGCGGCTAGAGAAATATAATGTCATGTTCAATGGATTGGTGACTTACTTTATAACTGCTGAGGTTACTGATCCAGCCACCAATTCGACTTTTGCTTTCCAAACATGTGTTAATCAATGTACGTGTAAGCGCAATGAAGATTTCAGAATAGAGACTGAACTTTGCAGGCTAAAACCCGAACCTCAAGGTTTGTGGTTTGATTGAGCGCGTTTGTAATTTATGTAAATTGTTTACTTACTCTTTCATGTCTTTACAAGGTTCTGAAGCCGAGGTCGAGGGTTGTCATTGGAATTCTGAAGTAGTTGATGATTTCTATAAAGGTGATCTAAAGTGGCTTCCGGATGATGCTTTGGTCCAATCTGATGATAAGCGACATCAGTTTTACGAGGTGAGAGCATAATAAGTTTCTATTTGTTATGTTCACTCTCAGTGTAAATCTTTGATATTCTGTTTCTTTCACAGTTCAAGACTCAGACATTCGCGAAAATGATTGGCTTAATATGTATGCTGGCTACGCATTTTATACGATGTGGGAAGGTGGCTTGGTATGCACTGTTTGTTTGTTTGGGGGTTTCACATGCCTTTGCGTTTTGGTTATATGTGGAAAAACTGATGATTGGTTGTTGATTTTTGTCTCCCAGACAAAGCTCAAGTTTGCTACGCCTCTGGAGATCAAAAAGGTCGTTGTACAAACTCTTGAAGCCATGGAGCCAAAGGAAAAGCTCAAGGCCGGGAATGCAGTCTTCTACATTAGTTTCAGGGACTGTGGTCTGACCGAAGATCACAGAGCGGTGGTAAGAAGAACCACATATGGGCATCCGGCACACCTTTGTCTTGAAGTGAAGTGTCTGGTTGAGGACTTGTCGAGTTGCTCTATTGAATAAATTTGGCCTGAACTCATGGTTGTCTAAGATGTTGCAGTTACCCTCTGCCTTTATTGACTTATTTGGTAATCTTAATCATAACAATGTCTTATCAACTTATTCTTGTTTTTGTATTAAACCACTGCAGCAGCTTATATAATTTTATCACTTTCTCTTTTAAGCCAAGCATTGGATCTTGCCCATCTCTAGAGTAGCTGTAATCAGTACAGAGGCAAACGAAGTCTCTATTCAAATTAGTAGAACAAGTTGATTTTGATGAAACCTGGTCAAAGTGTCATGCTTTGTTTGAAATTTCAGCTTATACAAATTGTATACAAACTCTCTTCACTATCTTCTTCCCTGTGCAAAAACATCTTGGCATATTGTATTTGATGCTTCTTAATTCAAGAACAGGACCAAGAGCTGTACAGTGTTCCTGCATTATCCGCAATGTTGCAGTCAATCCGAGATTCTTTTGAAGAAACTCGCCGTTGGATATGCAGGTTTAGGCAATGGCTTAGAATTATGCTCGACACCATAACAACCTGTTATGTAGCTTTGAATTAGTGTTGTCATCATTGTGTGAACACCATATTCACTTGTCGTTAAAAAAGGAGCCATACATATATAGTGGAAGGAAATTTCATTTGGGTTGGTCACTTTTGGTATCATTTACAATACACTGAAGATGTGTCTATTTACAATACAAAATAATGTCTTCCTACCAAAAAGTTATAGTTGATCTTCCTCGCTGATCTAAATCACATTCTCATGTGTCATATCCATTGGTGATCTTGGTATGATTTATGTTTCTGGTCTCACCATATGTATACACAAGTAGGGGACTGTTTGATGCCACCGTTCCTCACCATTTTCGTCTTGTGTGTCCCTTACAAGGGCACGTCTGCAACTCTGCATCATACAGATTCAGCTTTACTAGTTGATCAGTGGAATAATATTCATTTACTCTGTTCATAAATATCTCCATATTGACTGGTATAAGCCTTCATAACGCATAATCAACCCCTTGAAAACTACATTTTGTTCAGTCCTAAATCAATAGAAAGAACAATTTATGCTATTAAAACAGACTATACTATAGGAACTACAGGGCTTTGAGTTTCGATAAGATAGGTTTTGTAACTAGGCTATACATGAAGCCATGGAAGAATTGTACCAGTAGAGCCAATCAGGTACAAAGTCAAATTCCTCTCTAAAGCTATAGTCATCAGCCGAATCCAAATATAGATGAGATGTACAATCAAACTTTGGTTAAGGAATTGTTGGGTTTTGTCTGATTTGCAAAAAGGTCGTGTCGTTTCTCTTTGTTAGGGGATATTCTTTATTTAAACAAAGTTTTGGGAGAGTAACTGTACATAAAATAAAATTTACCTTCTCATTTATTTATCTTTCTATTTATTTTGAAAAAGAAAAAATAGAATTATGATTATTTTCATGAAAAGTTTCGAGTCATAATTCAGTCAAAAGTTAACTGGTGTTATAGACTAGAGAGAATAGAGAGGGAACTTGGATGCTTTATTCATTAGCTAAGAGCCATATATATAGAGGTTCATACAAGAGGTCAAGAGTAAACCCTAATTCAACTAGGAAAAGGTTAAACCTCCTTAACAGGCCGGATCGGGCTTGACATGGGCCGGGCCTTACTGGGCTTGTTATGACAATCCACTATGATTTATAACACTCCCCCTTGGATGTCATAACCGTCGTGAGCTAGTAATACGCTTGGGGATGTTGCCTCATTAAAACCTTACCAGGAAAACCCATTGGGATAAAACCCATTGAAGGATACAACACGTATTACTCCCCTTCATTTGAAGCTCACTGAAGATCTTTCAACCAGCACATTCCAATTTGCTTTATAAGCTTCTTTAACGTAGTGGTTGGAAGCGACTTGGTGAATAGATCCGCCGAGTTGTCACATGATTGAACTTGTTCGACTTGAACCTCTCCGGCTTTCTGTAATTCATGAGTGAAGAAGAACTTCGGCAAGATGTGCTTCGTCCTATCTCCTTTTATGTATCCATCTTTGAGCTGAGCTATGCAGGCAGCATTGTCCTCATACATTATTGTTGGTGCTGCCTTCCCTTCGGTCATCCCACAATCGATCATAATATGTTGAGTCATGGACCTCAACCAAACACATTCACGGCTGGCCTCATGCATCGTCAAGATTTCAGAATGGTTGGACGATGTTGCTGCGATCGTTTGCTTTTGAAATCGCCAAGATATTGCCGTTCCACCGTGTGTGAAAACATAGCCAGTTTGTGATCAACCATTGTGCGGATCCGAGAGATAACCTGCATTAGCAAAACCAACTAATCCCTCCTTGGGATGGTTAGTATAAAATAAACCCAAATCTTTCGTACCTTGTAGATAACGAAGAATATGTTTAATCCCGTTCCAGTGCCTTTGGGTTGGACATGAGCTAAATCTAGATAATAGATTCACGGCAAAACATATATCTGGCCTAGTGTGGCTTGCCAGATACATTAAAGCTCTTATGACACTGAGGTATGGCATTTATGGACTGAATGGATCACTATCCAATCTAAGGCTTCTCACCACCATTGGGCCTGGTCAATGGGCGGGCCTAGTCCTTATTAATTTCCTTGAGTACTCTTTCAGTATATGCCATTTGATGCACAAGGATTCCATTATTCATGTACTCAAGTTGTAATTCCAAACATGACTTAATTATTGCCTAGGCCTTTCCTTTTAGATTCAACTGTTTGGTTGATTACCCAGAGGTTTATATACACTGCTTATGATTACAAATCCTTTGTTTGCAAACCTCTTTATGAATATACATGGACTGATGGGATCTTTTATAATCTTACATACGCCCATTTATTCTAAGTTCATGAAAGGATTTGTCTAGCCTTATACATTCCTCTTCTTTTATGAATTCAACTCCACATATTTAATCCAATATGATCATTAAGTGCACTCATTATGGACGTGGGTTATATATCCTCGCTTATCAATTTCATTTCAAGTGCTACCTTGTATGCAAATATATCTTCGACGTCAACATCTTTTCAGTTCCATTTTATCTCGGACATAACATCAATGATCGTAATCTCATTATTATCATGAACATCATCAGTACGTCGAAGCTTGGCGTCCCAAGCCTCATTTTTAGGTAACTGAGGTTCGGTTATGTCTTGGGTAACCACGGTTTTTCAACCTCAGATTCATTCTTAGCACCTTTCTTTATTTCCGAGGGTTTTTATCTTTGGAACTTATTGGTCTGCCTCGTTTCATACGGGCTCTAGAATCTGTAGCAACTTGATTGTGTCCTTCCTGAACATCAATTCTTATAGGTGCATTTATAGCTGGTATATATGATTTAGTCACTCTTATTCGGGTCAAAGGAATCTGGCAATTAGATAGCTTTTGCATTATCTTTGGACGTCTAATTCATATTTCATAGTCCAAGGATCTTGCCATTATAAGGATGATTGATTCCATATAATTTCCTTTACCAGCTTATTATTATTATCTCCCCCCCCCACTCATAGTGGGTAATTGGATCCGTCAAAATGACAATCCGCGTACTTGGCCTTGAATAAATCAACCGTGGTCGGCTCAAGCTACTTATTTATTATGGGAGATTCATATTCAACATATATCCCCATCCTCCTCTGAGGACCCATCTTAGTTCTCTGTGGTGGAGCAACTAATATATATATACGGCACATCCGAATATCTTAAGATGGGATATGTCTGGCTTATGACCCGTTAATAAGGGGGTCTTATTGGTTTGTGAGATATATGGATTGTCATAGTTGATTGTCATAACAAGCCCAGTAAGGCCCGGCCCATGTCAAGCCCGGTCCGACCCAATGTTAAGGAGGTTTAACCTTTTCCTAGTTGTATTAGGGTTTACTCTTAACTCTTGTATGAACCTCTATATATATGGCTCAAAGCTAATGAATAAAGCATCCCAGTTCCCTCTCTATTCTCTCTAGTCGATAACACGTTATCAGCACGATTCTCTAAACCCTAAAAACTAAAGCTAAAATCGCCCCTAAACCTTAAACCTAAAAGATCTTGGCGGTATTGTTCATCTCAGTACTGCTCATCGCGATATTGTTCATTGTTAATACTGTTCATCGCGGTTCGTGGCAGAAGCTTGAGTTACCGAGGTCTTTAGCTCCCGGTCCAAATCCATTCAGAATTCAATAGGTGTTCAAGAGGTAAACAACATGAACCCTAAAACCATTGTTTCATGTTTATAATCTTAAAACCATGAAAACTTGAACATGAGATTGTTGTTTGGATTACTTTTCACATGAAATTATGAAACTCTAGAACATGTGATTGTTGTTTGAAGTATTTTTCACATGAAATTATGAAATCCTAAAACATGTGATTGTTGTTTGGACTGCTTTTCATGCGATATTATGAAACCGTAAAATATGAGATTGTTCTTTGAACTGCTTTTCACATGCAAATATGAAACCCTAAAACATGTGATTGTTGTTTGGACTGCTTTTCATGCAGCTCTAGGTGCTCATGCATTGATCGATTTTATTTTAGAGAAATATTAAGGTGATCATGCATTCATATTCGATTTTCATGTTAATCATATATTAGGATTTCATAAATTCATATTACTATAAGCAAGCAACAATCCATATGAGAAACAAGTTTATAATCGATTTTAGGGTTACATGAAAAGTAGTTCAAAGAACAATCTCATATTTTACGGTTTCAAAATCTCGCATGAAAAGCAGTCCAAACAACAATCACATGTTTTAAGGTTTCCTATTTACATGTAAAAAGTACTTTAAACAACAATCTCATATTTCTAGGGTTTTACAAATTCATATGAAAAGTACTTCAAACAACAATCACATGTTCTAGGGTTTCATAATTTCATGTGAAAAGTAATCCAAAAAACAATCTCATGTTCATGTTTTCATGGTTTAAAGATTATAAACATGAAACAATGGTTTTAGGGTTCATGGTGTTTACCTCTTGAACACCTATTGAATTCTGAATGGATTTGGACCGGGAGCTAAAGACCTCGGTAACTCAAGCTTCTGCAACGAACCGCGATGAACAGTACCGACGATGAACAGTATCGGTGATGAACAGTGTTGACGATGAACAGTATTGCGATGAACAGTACCGCCGAGATCTTTTAGGTTTAAGGTTTAGGGGAGATTTTAGCTTTAGCTTTTAGAGTTTAGAGAATCGTGCTGATAACGTATTATAGACTAGAGAGAATAGAAAGAGAATTGGGATGCTTTATTCATTAGATTAGAGCCATATATATATATAAGTTCATATAAGAGGTCAAGAGTAAACCCTAATACAACTAGCAAAAGGTTAAACCTCCTTAACATTGGGCCGGACCGGGCTTGACATGGGCCGGGCCTTGCTGGGCTTGTTATGACAATCCACTTTGATTTATAACAACTGAAATAAACTTACGAAAATAAAATCATATGAACTTTGCATTTGTAACTGTCTAAGCTTTGCATTTGGATGGTGTTTTTTTTTAATTATGTATAAGTTTATGTTTAACTTTGAGTTACGTATCAATTTATATAGGGAAAACGATATGTCCCCCTATCAACTTTTATATAGCATCACAACCACACACATTTTCAATCTCAATCTCAGTCCACCTAAAATGAAAGTTAAATTCCAGTTTCCACCCATTTTTAAAGTTCGAAACCTCAGGCCCCATATCGCAACTTCAGTCCCCATATCAAAACCCATAATACAAAATTCTTGGTTTACCATTTGTTTACTGAAATGGGTTGGTAAAAAAGATGATGATCCAAATACACTTGGGTCTTGAGAAAAAGAAAAGGGTTGTGACTGGACTGCGTAACATGGTGTATATATAGGATACGGTGTAAAAAGATCATAAGACATTTGGGCTTGTGTTTGTGGTTAATTTTGTAAGGTGTTTAGTTGGGCTTTAAGGGTTTTTAACTCATATTCTTTTTGGGCCATAAGGGGAGAGTTTATGGAGACAGTAGTAGCCAACTGGAGGAGTTCTTGATGGAGGGAGGACATCTTTTTTGTTATCTCCTTCATAGAGAGCTCCAAAATGGTTACCTTTTTGTCGATCTGGCTCAAGAGATTGTTTTGGATTGCAGCATTTTCTGATTGCCAATTCAAATTTGCTTCGGCTGCATTGACTTTCTTTACTGTTTCGTAAGAGTTTTTTATGTTTGGATTCTTTATCTTCCACGAGTGTTTGATACTGTTTTCTTCAAACTCTTTTGATGGAAATGGTGATTGGGATGGAGGGCCAAACATGTAGCTCAGTGGTAATTCTTCCCTATTCGAGGTTGCTGGAGTTGAGCTATTCGAATACAAAACATAGTAATCAAATTTTCCACTACTTGGCTCTCCAAGAAGTCCGACTTGAGGATCTCCTGACTTGTATCGTTCTTTGAGGATTTGTTGTGAAGACTTCTTTCCTCTTCTTCTCCTTGGAACTTCTTCTTCTTCAGAATCGTTTTCTAGACATTTTTGACAGTCACAAATATCAAAGAATTTGTGGCGAGAGTCATCCATGAATGCTTAGATAGGGTTTCCAAGTGAATCAAAAGATGAGATTGAAACGCCAGACAGACGTGAAGCTATTTCCATGAATTGTTTTTCGCAGGCAGGAGTGATCATGTTTATCTCTGTGCAAAAAGCCGCCGGTCTTGACTTTTCTTCTTGTGCTTTGATTGCAATTTCTACAGCTCCATCTTTTCTTCTATGGATAGAGGAATCCACTGCTTGTCTTGGTGTACTTCTTTCATGGAGTTTTTCATAATTAGTTACCCATCATACAAACACATAGTAATTTCTTTCACCCTATTTTTAATTTTGGTTAAAATGTCAATTTGTTGTTAGGATAAAAAAGGGAAATAATTAAGTGGACGAGAAAGAAAAAAACTTCACTGTTGTATATTTTTCGATTCAAGTTCCCGATTTATAGGCTTTTGCAAGAAGGGGGAAAATCATTACCGTACCATTCCAACATGAGCTCATGTTCCCAGAGGGTTACAAGGCATCTCTGATATGACCCTTTATAAAGGGTGACATTTTTTACGTCTACACAATTCGTCGATACATTCGAGTCCTTGATTTGTCTAGACAAGAAGGTTTCATGGATGATGTTGTTGTGTCGGATACATTGCTACCTTTTTATCCACCTTATCCTCCGAGTGATGATGATGATGAAACCAACGCATATGCTGATGAAGCAATCTTTAGTCATAACATTGCTGTTTCAACTTCAGGTGAGTTTTTGTTGGTCGATAGCATTGTTTATACGACAACCTCTGAGATACCTAGGATGTTCCCTATATACAGGACTGATCCTAATCCAGATCCGGATGAGCTTTATATACAAACCGAACCTGTCTATTGAGGTAGAGTCCTAGGGGATGAGGCCCTCTTTTCGGATTTAGGTATTGAACCAAACTCCATCTACTTCACCCGTCATGACCGTCTTCGTAACTGTAAACTGAGACCTTTATGCCAGGACATCTGCCCCTGCATCTGTGTGTTTAATGTTAACACAAAGAAGCTAAAACACTTCCCAAGTCTCTCCGACTTAAAGCCCAAGGATGGTTTCTCCCATCTTAATTTGCTTCTCCCTGCCTTTATAGTATTTACCAGACATGAGTGTTATTTCACTGTGAATTGTCATCTTAGATAAAAGTCCCAAGGCATAATTGTGTGTAGGTTTCCTTAGTTACCATTTTGTTTGCTCTTTTAGCAATAGAGAAATAAATACGTTTAGAAAAAGGGGAGGATCAAATGCTCTTCTGTGGTGTAGAAGAAACAAATAGCTTACTAAACCCATGGGGTTTTGATGAAAATACCAACTTAACCAAACTATAAATGGGGATTAGATAGCTGGATATTTACCGACACATGCTTTTGGTGTCTTTTACAAGACACAAGATAGTTTACAGACAAAATGTCACCCAGTAACAACCCGGGAACAGCCGATGCCTAAAAATCGTTAGCTTTCCTGCGTAGTTCGTTTAACTCATTCTCGATTTCTGAGTCCTTGAAAGGGTATCTTGTGCTAGCTGAGACAGTGCTTCTGCCTGGAGGAAGCTCTCCTTTCTGCATCATATCATATAAACAGAGGAGAACTATGAGATGTATGTATTACAAACTCTAACTTAGGGTGAAGTAGGACGTTAGAAACAAAGGTAGGATATAGTCAAATATGAAACAAAAGAGTAGGGTAAACATGGAAGTAATTAGAGGAGTCAGAGTTGTTGTTTTTATGTTTTCAGTTTACTTGACGAGAAACCAAATCCCTCTTTTCATTTTTCAGTATCATAGCAGTTCACTGGAACCATCCAAACTTCCCGAATCCATCTGTCTTTCCATACAGTAATTTGGATTCGGATAGCTTCAAGGAACAAATAAGATACCAACGTATTACTAACCTTTGAGCTTCCGGACAACTCTTTCTTCAAGTCTGCGAGATCATCATCCACAGATGAAGTCTCAAGCATTTGAAACTGCAAGTCACAAAGAAGAATGTGTTAATGTCAAGATGGTTGTATATATAGAAGTTTGTCTGCTACCACAAAAAGCTTTCAGCTCAAATAAATCAAATCAAACAAAAAGTAAATGAGATTGGGCTATCCTGTCCTAAAAACTATTAGATGAAGCAGTAAACTTAATTTAGTCAATTCAAGATTTTACCTCTGAAACCAGTAAAAGAGAAAGATTCTCCTCCTTAAAGAAATACTAAGAGAAGAGATAGACAACCAACCTTCCCCTCGAGTTCATCAGTTCCAATCTGAGTAAGTGCATCTGCTTCAGACTCCATAGCCATCACTGTCAAGCACTTTCCAATTTTAGGCTCTACCAGAATAGGCATACATCAAAAAGAAGATGTGGAGTATTTTACAATGAAAAATTCCAACTGCAGAACTTAACCAAATTGCTAGAAATAGCAAAGACAAAACTTATCCGATGTCACATAATCAAGATATGATTCGACTAAGTTTATCCTTTTCTTTGACGTTGCAGTGCCCACATTATATTAGCGCTCCACTGTTTTGCATGAGGTAACTAAAAGTTTAATTCCAGACCCACATTTCTAAGAATCTGAAGCACTAAACATCGCCTAGGTATCATCAAGTAATCTAATCTATCTCACAGAGAAAAAGTAACACGTCTTTGGAAGAACTGAACTTTCTATAGACTTTCAAAAACTGAATGGGTACATTATTATTCTCCTCCTAACTATAGGCAAAATTTCAAAATCAGAAAAGAATAATGGGCTAATTGCTGTCAGTGATGCATAGACCAGTTCTTTAGGTTTTGCTCAATTTAGAGGGTTCCAAGATCGTACCTTTCTCCTCCATTTTTTCGAAAGCTGAAAGAGCACCGCTTGTATTTACTGTCCCTATCATCTCTTGCACTTTTGTTGCAGTCCTAGCAGGATTATATAAACCAAAAGAGTTAGGAAAATATATAAAAGATGCATTGTCTATTGTCAAGCTTCTCATGAAGGATGATAAGGAAGCAATACATACTTGGCAGTTCGAGCGCGTGCAAGGAGCGTATCTTTCTTCGCTTTTGCCTCTTGTATCTTGCTCTCCAAGAGCTACAATACGAAAAGGGACAACAATACAGAAATCAGTATTCTAAGAACTAAACTTCGCCTAAGCAATTTTAGCATTCTAAAGGTAAATATAAGAATCTGAATCATCTTCTACATAATGCCCACACAGATACATTAGTTCCCTAGTCACTCTAAAAAAGTGAAGAGAGAGACTTATCATATGGACTTTTAGACGGAGAAAACATAAATCAACTATTGTTCTTATCATTTGAGCCATTCTAATGTAATGGTGGTCTGAAGAAAATCATGTATACATGATTCTTCGTTTTGTTGAGAAATGCATTGACGATAAATTCATTTAGTTATATCTCTAAAGAATCATACAATTTACAGTTTACAGTTAGTATAAATATATCGAAAGAAATGGTGCTAACTAACCCTTGTATTCGAAACAAGATTGTCGACAACACCTTTTTGTTGATCTAGTTGAGTTTTCAGAGCACTAGCGTTGTCCTGTTAAGAACAAAAAGTAAACAGATAAATAACTTCAAAATCAAATTTTCTAATACTATAGATCTTTTTGTAATGCAACTTTCATAAATTAGAGAATGCATGTTTCAAGAGTTGTCAATAGTTGTTGAAAATGTATCAGCAGTCAAAAGATAGAGATAATGTTCTGTGTTGCCTTCACGGCTACAATCAGAAACACTGAAAAAAATATAAAAGCCATACAGTCCATTGCTCAAACAAACGCACATAAAAGATGATAGCCAACATTCTGATAAATAGAAAACACAGAAGGATCGTTTTGGATCATTTCCGCAGTGCTATATATTTCCAAATTCTTGTTTGATCAGACACTGAGACAAGTGTTATTATTGTCCAAATTCATATTTGTTCCGACACTAAAACCACCTTAACAAACTCAACAAGAAACATCGTGTAACAGAATACTACTAATTATGAACACTGCCAAGTTCTGTTGCATCTAATATGATTTACACATGGTCAGTATTTGAGACTATTTGAAATTATTTAAGGAACATAGAATTACTGTATACATAGATGTCTAAATTTTTACTTCTACTTACACCACCTCAGTACTAAAATTTTCAGAAAATTAGCAGTTTAGCCTCAAAGGGCACAAAAGCATCAAACTGTTAGGTCCTAGGAATCTCTTTCATTTGTTAGGTCCTAGCACACTTAAGAAAGTGAAAACTGGAAAACAAAAGAATGGATTGATATAACCTACAGCAAAAGACTTTCGACGTTTAAGGGCTTCACGTGCGAGATCCTCATCTCCTTTTGCAAGAGCAAGTTGTGCCCTTTTGTACCTATTTAAGCATGTAACATGTAAGAATATTCAGCTAACTCAGGAATTTCAGTAAAAAAACAAGGCTCCGTTCTAAAACAAACATACCAATCATCAGAAGATTGCTGTGCAGCTTTATATTTGTTCTGCAACTGCTTTTGTGATGCTAAAACCTTAAGAAATGTTGATAAAACACAAGTTAGCTAATCTCCAAAATTATGAGTTCTCAGAAGCTGAAGAAGAAAAACATCACACGAAGACATGTATAAAGTTTGTTCAAGAGTAAGAAGTGTACCTGTGCAGTGGCTTGACGCATCTTTGTCAAATCACTATTCATTTCAATGACAGTTTGCTCCAGGATTTTCTCCGGGTCTTCAAAGGAGCTTATGAGTGCATTTGCATATGACTTCGCTTATTTCAACGAAAAGAAAGAAAAAAAAAACACCTGATGAATGAACTCCAATGCATTAAAAATATACAGAAAAGAAACACACTTGACTCGACTGTCAGATATACAATCAGCAAGGTTATAAGTACCTTGACCACTCTAGAAAACCGTTCAAAAAGATTCATCGTAGCACCACCATGACCGTTGCACTTGAGTCTATTCGCGCAAGCTAACCTCAGCTCGTTCACTCTCAGCGATCCACCTTGTACATAAAAAACAGTAACCCTTTTGAGTTTAAACAATAAGAATTTAGTCCAACAACATAAACCTTAAACATGTGAAACACTCAAAGCATACTGAAGTATATTAGATACCGAGACCGTGTCCTGCAGCTTTTCAAAATTGAGTCCCTAAGAGTAATCATAAGCACGAGAAAACTCTATTTCATCTCTTCTTGTTACTAAATCAAGAAACACAAAATCAAACACCAAAAATGCACAATCAATACCCAATTTTTCACAGGCAAAATCCTAGACAACTGCACAATTTTTTCTTCCGAGCAAAGCGTAATCAAAGGAACGAGAAAGCGAAAACCCTATAAGCGAATTAGAGAAGACGAAGGAGACGCACTTGAGTTACCGAAGAAGGATGGTCTGAGGGGTAAAACCCTGAGAGAACAAGGACGATTAGAAGTCGAAGGGGAAGATGAAGCAGTAGGACGGAGAGGAGGGAATAATCCGGCGACTGGTGAAGCTTTGAGAGCCATTTCAATGGCGATTTCGTCTTCTCCTTCTGCTTCTCTCTGTCTTCGCTTTTAGCTGATTGAACTTGGAGGAGGATGTCTCCCGTATAGTTCTGTGGTCTCGGATGTGTTCTGATTTTTGTTTCCTTTATCCGACGTCGTTTTGGTGAAGGGGTGTTAAACTTTTTTTTTTTTTTTTTTTTTTTTTTTTTTATTCCGTCACGAAAACCAAATTACAAGTTTATCGGAAACAAACTCTCCTCTATGGAGAGCAACGACGAAGTCGATGTACTTATGAGGAAGAATTTCTCTCTACGGCTTCTTGCTTTTTTTGTAAGGTAATATGAGCGTCCTTTCTCCTTTAGCGGGATGCGGCGGATACTAGAATTCGGGAATGAAAACTTTATATCTCTAAACAAAGCTTACTCACCTGCAAACGTGGACCAATCGGACGGCGCCTCCAAAATAGCAAGGATATCCGACCAGTCGATAGAAAAGCAAGCAGTATTCTGACCAATCTCTAACATATACTCCATAGCCCAAAGAAGAAAATTTAATTCGGCATGAAGGGGTGAAAGACACCTACTAGTGCTCTTGAGTCCAATCCGAGAGTGACATCTCGAGGAAAGTCCTCTATCTTTCACAAGGACCCATCTAAGAATGGTGTTAAATTTCTAAATTGTAAATTTACTACGATTAACCCCACGGTATCAGAATTAATGATACAACTGAAATTTACTACGATTGTAATGATACAATGAAATATTACTAACCAATATTTTTATTAAATAAAATAAAATTAATTTTGTGTCATTTTTGCATTAATAAATAATAGAAATGAATAAGGGTAAAATTGAAATATTTTTTTGTTAAGTGATCGCAAGTATAAAAATGACAATATTTAATTTTTCAGGTATTAAATTACACGTTTTTATTAAAATAAGTATTATTTTTTCAACTCTAAAAGACCAAACGTCCAAATAAAAATTAGATCATGTATTTTGAAGTTTATATCCCATCAAAATCTATTTAGTCTATACATTATTTAATATCCAAACTAAACCAAACCGATATTTCTAAAATATCTGAATGGTTATTATATTATTATATTCAAACTAACAGAAACCGATTGGTTAATCGAATTTCCAGGCCTAACCGAAATATTACCATATCTTCAATATATAGTAATATTGTTTTTAATTTTAATTAAGATAATAATAAATGAGGATCCGATTATGATTTTGGGTTGTACATTTTAATTTTGAACCGATCCAAAATACATATTTACGAAATTAATCTTAATGATTTGAGATTAATTATGTTTATGACATTGGTTTTTTTGGAAAAACGATTATAGAAAATTATTTTAGCACAAAGATATACAGTATAGATATTAAGCCTCTTGAAACCGTCCACGAGAAATTTATAACAACCAATTAGACCTGAGCATATGGGTAACCCCTTCGGATTCAGATATTATCCAATCGGATATGGGTATTAGCCAATCGGATTCGGATTTAGGAACGTAGAATCCATTGAAGTAATTTTTGATTGTTGGTTTGGTTTTAGTTTGGGTAATAACGGGTTTGGATTGGTAATTTGGGTTACAAATTTTAAAGCCCGATTACTGCCCAAACTACTGTATGAACTGTAGTTTGAAGTCCATAACTTAATAAAAGCATGGGATGTAGCTCTACTGCTGAGCCAGATATTAGTGTCGTAAGGTGGTTCCATTACGAGGCGTATTGGTTGCCGAGAAGTCCTTGTGTAGAAGATGTGGTTCCATGTGTTGATTCCATGTTAACATTTTCGGTCTCACATGTGTAACAGTTATATATGAAAATTTGGTGTGACTTAGGGGAAAGGGGAAACGGGGAAAATCAATCCAGACTCTTTCCATAAGGGATTTTCATACCCCAACTCGACTACTCTGTATTTTACAACCTAAACCAGTCTTAAATTCAAATAATCTACCTAAACCACATCTAATTTTGTCGATTTCAACCTCTACCCTAACAGTGTTAAATCTGGGTTTGACGGTGCTGAGTCAGCTGCAAACGTGGCAACCGCATGAGGAAACGACTTCGTTTTATTAAGTTTAGTGTGTTAAATAGATAACAAAACGACATCGTTTCACATTTGGGGGAAAAATCGATTTAGGGTTCTTATCGTTCTTATCAAACACTTGATGCATCTTTAACTCACCACTTCCTGGCTTGCATCTCACAAAACTCTCCTCATCACCTTCATCATCAGAATTAGGAGGAGTATTGTGATAGTCAAAATCTTCATCCTCATCTTCATCAGCAAAAGGAGACACATCTCTTTCAACTCTCAGTTCTTCTTCACATAAATCACCACCAATCTCAGCATCTTCTTCGTCTTCCTCCATTGAATCCACCAACCACACATTAACAACTTTAACCCATCGAGCCCCTTCACACATCTTAAGTAAATTCCCACCATTCAATTCCTTCCGATCCTTACCTTCTTCAAAAGAGTAAGAGTACGACATCTTCTTCCCATAAAACGACTCACTCAATTGATTCCCCAAAACTGTAAAAAAAACTTCAGGCTGACATTCAATGGTTGACATTTCACCACTAGTATAAACATCTTCTCCATCATTACTTGTCCAATTCCCACCAAAGTACACAAAGAATGTTACTGCACTGCAAAATCCAAAATGATATCAAAATTAACACCAAAAATACGAAATCAAAATCATGATATCAAGAGTCACAATTTGAAAAAACATTACCTCATTATATCTCATCAACGACCTAGAATAACGCTTCTCGATTCCACAAAACGAACCCGAACCCAGAAAACGAACCCAGAACACGAACTAATTTCAATCCACCAGGATCCAACTCAAACAAAATCGAGCCAACCAAAAACGATCCCTTCAGAACCACAGAACAAGAAACGAAAGAGAAGAAGAGAAGAGACGATGAAGATAAACTCTATTTAGGTGAAGAACCCTAATCGACAACAGCTCATAATCTCACACAATCGAATCGATTCTCTGTTTCTTGAAACCAAAGAGAAACGATTTAGAACCCTAAATCGATTTTTTCCCCCAAATGAGAAACGATGTCGTTTTGATATCAATTCAACACACTGAACTTAGCAAAATAACGTAGTTTCCTCTTGCCGTTGCCACGTCTGCAGCTGACTCAGCACCGTCAAAACTCGATTTAATACTGTTAGGGTAGAGGTTGAAATCGACAAAATTAGATGTGGTTTAGGCAGATTATTTGAATTTAACACTGGTTTAGGTTGTAAAATACGGAGTAGTCGAGTTGGGGTATGAATATCCCTTCTGGGAAGAGTCTGGGTTGATTTACCCCGTTTTCCCTTAGGGGAAATCACACACTTTTAGTTTCAATCATTTATTTGGAATTCTCAAATTAAAGCTAAAACCAACAATCAATTTCAGTTTATACAGAATCAAACCAAATATCAAAAATTAACAATGTTATGTATACAATTTTAAAGTCGTATATATTGTGTGCTTATAATGTCTACAATTAATATGGGGTTTACTTTTTTTTTTCTTTTTTTTTTCTGTTTGGTTTGATTAAGGATCATCTGATAAAAATGAATTTAATTTCAGTTAGGTTTAAATTCAATAATTGGACACTGCGAACAAACAAATCCCTATTGTAATAATGAAATAAAATCTAAAAAGTATAGTAATGATATTAAAAACAAGATCTTACTCAAATTAAAAAAAAAAGTAATGAAATTAGATAGAATAGAGAAAGGCAGATAGCAAAATCTAAACATACTAATTTCACTTTATATAAAGTTTGATTAGGCTTATTGTAGACTTTGTAGTGTAACACGCAATATACTAATATTTAATGTTTTAATATTTTATTAGATTTTGGTATATAGTTTTTTTTTTAAAAACTTCATTTAGAATCAACTATAAATAGTAAAATATATGACTGTATATATATACATAGTATAACATATTTTTATATAGTAAAATTAATTTAAATGAGAAATAAAAGATATACTTCTTCTATATAAGAAGACCACTAACTCTTAACGAGAATACATATTCGAGTTTATCAAAACACTGTTGTGGAGACTCTAGTACTAGTGAAAGAGAACAAAGCAGCCAGTGAACAAATATGGCCGAGACCGAGGAGGCGACTACAAAGGAGATGCCAAAGACTTCTCTATTAGGAGACGTAGAGGTAGAAGTTGAAATCAAATCTCCTGCGGTGAAATTTTACCAAGTGTATGCAGGAAGACCAAACCATGTAGCTAAAGCCACTTCTACCAAAGTACAAGCATGTGATCTGCTCGAAGGAGACTGGGGAACCGTTGGCAGTATTGTCAATTGGAACTACGTTTATGGTAATCAACTTTTGTAGTTCTTGTAATGATGTAAATATTGTAATGAAGATTTGATTGGTGAATGTTTTGTGTGTAGCGGGGAAAGCGAAGGTTGCGAAAGAGAGAATCGAATTAGTGGAACCAGAGAAGAACCTGATTAAGTTTAGGGTCATCGAAGGAGATGTTTTGGCTTTGTATAAGAGTTTCTTGATTACTATTCAGGCGACGACGGCGAAGGAAGGAGGAGTTGGAAGTGTGGTGAAATGGCACCTTGAGTACGAGAGGAACGATGAGAATGTGCCTCACCCGGAGAATTATTTACCTTTCTTGGCTGAGATGACCAAAGAGATCGATGAACACCTCTTATCCGAAGAATAGATAGAATCTTGGCAATATGATCTATTTCATCGTGCTTTTGTTAGATAACTATGAGATAAGTTTATGAATTTATTGCATGATGATATATATGTTCATTGTTGATGTTAAGTTTTTATTTTGTAACTTCAAAATTAATTCATTGATAAAATCCTAAAAAACAAAAGAAAAAAAAAGTATTTTATTGGGTTTTAGTCGAACTCTACTAGAAGTATTACTTATTAAAAACTTAAGGGAGATTTAATTGTACTTTCATCAATTAGACTAGTCCAACTCTACTAGGAATAGTACTTTGAATCTTAAAAAATGGGTATTCACACAATTCAATATAATTCTTGCGTTATTGATCCTTGCACTCAATCAACCGATTCAAACATTTCTCTATGTAGTTGTAGAAATCTCAATAATAGCAACAAGTAGGGATGTTAATGATAGGTAAAAACCCCCATTGGGTATCCGAAACCCAGTTATAATTTTGGATTCAGGTACCTAGTTTTATACAGTAAAATAAATGGGGCTTAAAACGGGCATGTCCCATTTATAACAGGTTTTATACCGGTTTTACCCAATTGGGTTTTTGTTTTAATTTCTGTTTTTTTTTTTTTTATTAAATTTCTCACATTTTGTTTTAATTTGTTCGCTTATTCACATAATTATAAATCAACAAAGTCAAATCTTTAGAAAAAAAACAATTTTTGAAACAAAAATATATCAATAGACATAAAAATCAATTAAATTTAGTGAAAACATATTTTAAGTGATTTTTAATCATTTCTAGTTAAAATTTGTAAAATAAAACAAAAATAAAAATATACAAATCTTCTCATCAAATAATTGCCAGCAAACCTAAAAAGTTGTAAACAATGGGAATTATGTGTATCACAAAGACGATTACAATTTACAAGTCTTTTATAGACTATCAAGAAGATCTTTGAAGATTAATTACATAAACATAAACTATATAATCACAATTGTATCTCCTAAAATATTTACTCTTCATATTTTGTTGAAGCCATAACTTGATGCGTAAGTTGAGGGACTAATTTCGCTAATACCCTCCCTCAAGTTGGTGCGTGCAGGTCGTGTATGCCCAACTTGAAAAAAAATTATGTATAATCTTGAGTACCCAACGGCTTTGTAAAGATATCAGCCAGCTGCGACTCACTCATGACATGAAATAGCTGAATATTCTTCTTGACCACTTCATTCCTAACAAAGTGACAATCCACTTCTACGTGTTTGGTGCGTCCGTGAAAAACATGATTCTTGCCTATATGAATCGCACTCTGACTATCGCAATAAACAAGCATTGACGCTTCATGTGTAACGCCTAGTGCAGCCAATATGCATTTAAGCGAAATGAGTTCTTGTGTCAAAAACGCCATGCTCTGTACTCTGCTTTAGCTGAGGAACGACTCACTTTTTTCTACTTCTTTGTTTTCCAGGAGATGGGAGATCCTCCGAGTTGTATGAAGTACCCTATGACTGAACACCGCGTTAACGGACAACTTGCATAATCACTATCACACCAAGCAGTAAAATGAAATGGTGTACCAGCTCGGAGCATAATACCTTGTCCAGGATTATTCTTAAGATATTAAACAACCCGTAAAGCTGCATCCCAATTATCCTCTCTTAGTTTTTGCATTAACTGTGGAAGAAAATGAACACAATATGCTAAATTCGGTCGTGTCACAGCCAAATAAATCAATTGCCTATCAAACGTCTATATTTCTTTGGATTCTATAAGTACGCAGATTCCGACAATTTCAGTTTGTGATTCGATTCGAGAGGGAAAGCCACTGGTTTGGCACCAAGAAGGCCCGTATCTGAGATCATATCAAGCGCATACTTGCGTTGACAAAGATACCTACCCTTAGAACTTCGTTCAACCTCAATTCCCAAAAATACTTCAACAAACCTAAAACTTTCATGTGAAAACATGTAGAAAGATAGGCTTTGAAGTCTTCCATTACTTTCCCCGTGCTACCACTAATAACCAAGTCATCTACATATATCAAACCTTGAATTTGCGCGTTGTCAATGTCGATCGTGAACAACGAATAATCAGATTAAGTTTTGTTCAAAACTGTATTCCTTAAACATTGTTGTCAATTTTGCAAACCAGCACCTTGTACTTTGCTTCGATCCATATATAGATTCGTGTAGACGACAAACTTCATTAGGATCAAAATATTTAAATCATGGAGGTAAATTCGAACTCGTATTCACCACATAATTCTTCAGCTTCACGGACTGAGTTTTTTTTGCCTTTGACTACGTCACAATTATTCCTCTGGTTTTGGGAGTACCACCGCCGGAGCTGCTGTAGGTAATATCGTCGGCCAATAATTCCTAAAGGTGAGAGTCGCCGTGTTTGACGTTCCGGCGGCGGAATAGTTGTGTTGCATCGTCGTTACTCTTTTAATTGGTCTTGGTAAAGGCCCAGTCGCAAGAGGTTCAGTATTTGTTGGATTATTTTGAAATCTTCTAGTGAAACAGAGTTGACAGAGACAAATCGAGGGGTAAAGCAACAATTTTTAAAGTGTACTTTTATACCTTAACTTTGATAGCGCGTTAATTTCAACATGAACTAAATATTGTTTTATTTTGGTTAACTACGATGATAACGTGTCAAATCGTAACTTTAGTAACGTGGAAATTTCAACATGGACGAAATATTTTTTTCGAGTAAACAATATGAACTATCAAATTTGTGCTAAAATCAACATTGACCGAGATTATTTTGGTCAACTACGATCAGTTAGCTGCCATGTATGCAAATTTTGTTGAGTCATATGCCACTTGTAAACTTTTTGCTGAGCCACCTGCCATGTGTCAAAACTTATTTTATGTTTTTAATTTAAAATTTTGTATCTAATTTAAACTAATATGAACATGCAAAAAGAAAAATTTCAATTAATTTCAATATTTGGTGTATAACTTAAATAATGCAAAAGAGATTTTTCATTTTACCTTTTTAATATTTGGCACAAATTTGATAGTTCATGTTGTTTATTCAAAAAAAAAATTTTAGTTTAGGTTGAAATTCACACATGATCAAAGTTGATGTATAAAAATACACTTTTGAAATTGTTCGGCTTGAAATTTGCCTTTTACCCGACAAATCACGAACAAATGCATATGGGAACTCTTTTTAGGGGGAATTTCAAAAATACCCATTTTCCAATAACACTTTTTAAAAATACCCCTCTTTCTAATTTTATCAAAAAGTCACTATAAATTTTGAAATTCATCAAAAAAATATGTGTAAGCTTATATTTATAGACACAAATTATCTTTATATGCGTGTAAATTTATAAATATATATTTCATAAATACATTTTAAAACCTTTTAAAAATCATTTAAAAACCTTATAAAAACTTTGTAATCTTTTACAAACCTTATAAAAACCTTCTAAAACCTTATAAATGCTGTTTAGAACCTTTTAAAACCTTATAAATATTTGGATTTTGTCACGCAATAGTAAAAATGATCTTGATGTACCTTATTAACCATATAAAATTTTATAATTTTTCATATTTGAAAAGGGGTATTTTTGAAAATGGATAGAAAAGAGGGGTACTTTTAAAAAATGGGTACACTAAAAAGGGTATTTCTCAAAAATACTGAAAATCACATCCTTCGAGACAAAGAAAGAGTTTTACATAATTTTAACATAGATTTGGTTTTCATAGTAATAAAAAATTAAATACTAAGAAAATCGTATTAGTAATAATAATATGATTCAAAAATTTAATACAAGACATTTAAAATTAATCATATTATAAGTTCTTAAATTATGTAATGAGTTTTTTAGAATGAAAGTAAATGTATGCATGGTAGAATAATGTAAAATTTATATAATTGTATCTTGAGGAGTTCTTCAAGAGTCGAGGAGACCGGCGAACAGTTCGGCATCAGAGTGATCCAGCTCGAGGAGCATCGTAAGAGTTCGAAAAGATCAGTATGAACGATGACGAGGGAGGAAGGCCAAAAATGAGACTATGTCATATTAAATTCAAAATGTTATAAAGTAAATGCATATGCATTAATGAAAATAGTCAAAAGATTAAACGATAAAATGAAGACACCCAATAAAAAAGGAAGAGACTATAAAAGAAAGGTGAAGGCTTAAAAAAGAAGAAGATAGTTTGACATTTTTCATCACAATTTTAGATACAAACATTTTCTAATAATAATTATATCAATTATTATTTCTTCTCTTTATTCGATAAAATCTTTGAGCAACGTCAATATTATACACAACTTTCACTATATATTTCATACATTTCTACATTATTTTCATACGTATTTTATGCATTGGAATTTTTCTTGAGATTTTATACCCACGAATAAAAAATATATGAGTGTAGAATCGGACACCCACATACTGAGGGAATCTAAATTAAAAACACCCAAAGTTTAATCACATACCTTTAATACTAAAGAAAAACTGTAAGAAATTTTAAACTTGTTATCTATAAAACCAAATGTTAATCTTCTTTAAAACTTCTAATGAATATTTACAATACTAAGCTACTAAATTATATTTTTTTAATTACTAATTAAATAGAAAACACTAACATTTTAAATGATATAACTTTAATTTTAAATTAAAAAGTTTAACATCAGTATATATAATTTGATATTGTCCTGTCAGTGTACGCGGGTTAATTCCTAGTTAAAATAAAATGAATATACATATTGTGTTTATATATTATCATATCTTATCAAACTATTCAATATATGTAAGCTGTACAAGTATTTGATGTACAATATAGACTATAAAATTTAAGTATTTAAAAAATATATTATTTTGTTTTTCTAATATATAACAGAATCATAAGTTTCTTTATGTTTTTTGTAAAATAATAACGATAATAAAAAAATTGTAGTTAATTTGATCATTATTAATTCTACCTATCAAAAAAACAAATTCTGAAAATTAAGTTATCACCAATAAATTATATTTTTATGGGAGAATTTCAAAAATACTCCTTTTCAAATACCACTTTTTAAAAATACTCAATTTTCAAAATTTATCAAAAATATCACTAAAAATATATAAATTTATCCAAATATGTGTGTCATCTTATAAATATACATACAGATTACCTTTATA